GAGTTTTACGGATTGAGGGTGGGTCGTTTTCAAATCATTCGTTTTAAACAAAGTGCATGAGCTTCACGGATTGAGGGCGGCTCCTTTTCAAAATGTGGCTCTCGCCTTAGCGCCGCGCGCATTCGTTTATAAAACTTAAAACCAATTCACGGATTCCCATCATCAATGTACCAGAAATAATGTGCTGGAGGGATTCAGGAGAATGCGGGTGCAACAGTTACGTTGATCCGCTGCGTTGTGAAGTCCCAGGAATGACGTTCTGGTACGATTCTGGATCGTCAAGACGCAACAGTCAGGTTGATCCGTAGTGTTGGAATCCCCAGAACAATGTTTTGGCATGCTTCAGGGTCTTGAAACGGTTGTCTTCCAACGAGGCAATTCCTTCAGTGGAGATGAACCGTTGTAGGGGTCTACAAAGAGGGAGGTTGGAGGGAGGGTTTATTCCAACATCGTTGATGCCCGTTGGGTTTACACTGGTCCTCCTCCTCCTCCTCCTCCTCCTCCTCCTCCTCCTCCTCCTCCTCCTCCTCCTCCTCCTCCTCCTCCTCCTTCTCTCACCCACCCACCTCCTCCACCCACCCACCCGCCCGCCCACGCGTACCTCCCTCGCTGCCCCTCCTCCCCCCCAAGTCCGGCCGCTGCTCCTGCTCGTGCCGCTGCCTCGTGCTGCTCTGCTGCTGCCGCCGAGGTCAGGCCCTCCTCCCGGGCCTAGAATCGGTGGTTCAAAGATGAGGTCCTGAGGGATGGGGACATAAGGATACAGGCCTCGAAACAAATCTGGAACACTCATGCCACATTCATCTGTCAACACCTCCCGCTGCCCCCAATGTTCAAAGGTGGCGATGGGTCTGATGAGTTGCGCCTCGACCGCAGTCTCCCCCTCCCGTGCCAACTTTGAGTTTGGGGGGGAGGAGGAGTGTCCAGTAATTGTTTCCCTCTCCCGTAGGAGGGGATCCAAGGGTGGATCTACGCTGTTCGAAGCACCTCGTCCTGACGACCCCAACCCTCAGGACCCCCATCTCCATCTTGGAACCGCCGAGACACGGCGAGCACCGCCACTGACCCCCCCCCGAGGGCTGCCGCGTGGCAACAACCCGAGACTGCACCGCCAGAACGCGTCGATGTCCACTGCCGCGGGGCCGTGCCCCGGGGCGGACGCCGGCACGCGGCCGCGTGCCCTGCAGGCGACGGCGGGGGTGCGGGGGCGCCGAGAAGGCTGCACGCTCGCCGCTCAGACTTCGGTGCTCATTGGCAGTGAACTGCCCGTCGCTTCGGCGAGATCCTTTGGGAGCGGCAGATATGGATATCTGCCCGCCTGTGCGGGGCAGATACAAGTGGAGGTCCGTCCACAGGAGACCTTCCACAAGAAAGCCAACCCCGAGACCCCGGGGCGTCCACTGATTTTTGGTGTGGGAGCGTCGCACTTTCCATAGCAAAACCATCGAAACCCAAGAAACCCAGGGCACCCTGGAAGCAAGCAGGGTGTCTCTTGGCATGGGCTTCCACCGTACCCATTTCCACCATGCACGGTTTCCCCCGGGGCTGTAGGCGACCCGAGGAGGAGGAGTAGGAGGAGGAGGAGGAGCAGGAGGAGGAGGAGGAGGAGGAGGAGCAGGAGGAGAGATGAGGAGGACGGGTCCCCTAAGCCCTTCGGAGAAACCCTCCAGCCCCAGGGCACGACTCCGAGAGCGGTGCGTGCCAGCGCGCCTCCGGGAGTCTGCTGGCAGGGCGGCCAGCCCGCCTGCCCGCCCGGGGAGCCTGGCAGCCCCCCTCCTCGCCTCGCAGCCCGCCCCGCCCGCCCGCCTTGGGGTCCACCCGCCCGCCCACCTGTGCGCCCTCGTGCCGGAAGGCGCCGATGATCCTCCGGCACCAGGCCTGGCCGAGCCCCCCCTGGGCCCGGGATCGGTGTGGACGTCCTCCTGGCCGGGCCAGGAGGCAGGCAGGCACGCCGATCCCGGGCCCGGGATCGGTCCAGTCAGGCTCGGTGAATGTCTACGGCTGGCGCCCTCCGATCGTGTGATCCTCCCGCGCCCTGGGGCCCGAACGCGCGCATCTGGCACGGTGCCCCCCCACCCCCCGCGACGGTGGGGAGAGCAGGACTGGAGAGGGCGGGCGTCGAGGGCCCAGGAGAGAGGCACCAGGAGGGCAGGTCAGACCTGCTGGAGGTGCTGTCGTCGTGCGGTCGCCGTCGCTGCCGTTGAGCCCTCGGTCTCTGCAGGTGGGTTCTCCAAAGAGTTGCTCGCCTCGGTGCTGGATTGCCCCCGCTTGGAGGGAGCGTCGCCTGCTGTGCTAGGTGCCCCGCCCATTTCTCGGGTAGGGTCCGCTGAGGGTTGCCCTACTCGCGATCCAACGACAGGGCCCGCCTGCAAGGATTCCTCCAGCTGCGATCAGAGGATAGGGTCCCCTGTATTTGCGAACAGGTGGCATGGTTCCGTCAGGGTATCCCTAGTTATGACCAAGGAGATCTGGTCCTCTGAGCGGCCCTCTATGTGCGATCAGACGGTCAGGTTAGTGTCTCCCTGTGTGCGATCAGATGACAAAGTCCCCTGGGGATCTCCCTGTCCTGAAAGCAGAGATCTGCTTACGATCAGCCGAAAACTCCTTCATCGCAATCCGATGACGGGGTCTCCTCGTCTCGAGATGTTCCATTTGCCTCCTCCCTCAACCGATTGGGAGCTCGACCCGACCCGCCGAGGCAGGGTTCGCCCGTCTGGACCGACCAGCCGACTCAGAGCCCGCCCGAGCCAGCACGACCGCCCGTCCGAGTCCGCCCGCCCGCCCGCCGGGGTCCGCCTGCTCTCTGCCAGGAAAAGTGACGCCCAGGGCCAGGGGAGGCACCGATCGGGAGGCTCAGCATCGATGAGCTTGCTAAAAACCCAGGGGCGAGCGAGCAGTGGCCGCTGTCATCGTCACTGTCGCTGTCGCCGACCCCTGCAGCACGTTTTGACAGTGGCCATCTGCCTCCCAATCCTGCGATGCTGCCACGCCTCCGAATCAACCGAACAAGGCTCCCCGTATACCCCTCGCTTGGCTCTCGTGGACGCGACCACGCATGACTCGCAGGAGAGCGCGGCGAAATAAGATGGGAGAGCGCTGCACGCCAGATGAAGGCGAGGCAAGGGGAACGGGGAGGATGCGGGGCACTCTTACCATGAGCCATGGGGAAGCCTGGGGGAACCGCAAGCGGGAGGGCCGCGAAGCTGATGGCACGCTCCCCGCCCGATCCCCAGCTTGCCCGCCTGATCGGCGTGCGAAAGATCGTCGACGCATGCGTCCAGCGCTGTGCCGTGGGTCTCGAGAGAGGTGCGGATGGCCTTCAATGGAAAGCGGGAGCCAAGGAGACTGCAAGGATGGGCAGATACGGCAGTGAGACAAGAGACATTGAAAAGGTAGGGGCAAACAAACACCTGAAATCCCACCAGCCCTTTAGGGCGTGAGTGGTGTGACGAGTTGTAGCTTTTCTCCCTCGTCCTTCCCCTGCTCGGGGGAAGGGTTTATCACTGTTCCCTGTTGATATACATCCCCTCCCCAAGGCGAACGGCAGCCAACCAGGAACAATGAGGACCCCAGAGGGCCCCCCCAACCATCCCTGTCAACATGATCGACCCACGAACCCGGAAAGGAATATCGAAATGTACAAGGCATGGCAACGCTCCAATGACTCCTGATTGGGCGACGGGCGAATACACTGCTGAATGTATCGATCTTGATGTACTGTGCCGAGGGCTGTGCTGTGCTGGGCCGTGCTGAACTGCGATGTGCCATGTCGCGAGTGTGCTCTATATACATATATATAGTGTATATATATATATATATACTAGAACCATCGCGCGCGTTTCGCGCGCGCTCAGGTTCCAGCCCAAGCGGGGGGGGCGCTGGACGATCTTGGACGTCGCTAAAAGCACAGGCGCGCGACGGCATCTGAGGAGCTTCTGGGGTGTTCCGCATGCTTCGTCAACTGGCTGTTGGAGGCACATCTTGGGTGCTTCTTGGGGGGGCGTCTGAGGGTCCCTTGGGGGCATCGGTTCTGCAATCTGAAGCTGTCATTGGCCGTCTTGGCTGCGTGGAGGCCCGACTTGAGGCCACCTGCGGCCAGATTGAGGCAATCCGGAAGCCTCCCGGGGGCATCCTGGAAGCAGTTTTGACGCATCGAGGGCTATTTTAAAACCTCTTGGACGTCTCCTAGGGGCCTTTTGGGCCCTCGGGAAGCTTTTGGCGTCCTCGTCGGACCACTTGAGGGCCTCTTGCGGCATCCTGTGGGTCTTTGGGGGGGAACGCTCTGCTGTTGGGTCGCGTTCCCCCTCTTGGGCCTCTCTTGGGGCTCTTGGGGCCCTCTCGGGCCGTCTTGGGCGCCTCAAGCACCGTCTTGGGGCCCTCGCGGGCCGTCTTGGGGCCCTCTTGGAGGCCTCTTCCTCTATATTGGAGCGGTATTGGAAGCCTCTTGGGCCGTCTTGGAGCATCGGGATGCCAAAAGGCAGAAAAAATTAAAACCCGTCAAAGCCCAATCGTAAAACAATGAGTTGTGCCTCTTGGGGCCACCTTGGGAGATCTCTTGGAACCTCGTCGGCCCTCTTGGGAGATTCTTGGGGGCCTCTTGGATCCGATTGGGGGCCTCTTGGGACTTCCCGAGAACCTCTCGGGGTAGAAAGCTCGGATTCTCCGTTCGTGCTTCCCTTCTTGGGCCTCTCTTGGGGCCGTCTTGGGGCCCTCTCGGGCCGTCTTGGGCGCCTCAGGCACCGTCTTGGGGCCTTCGCGAGACGTCTTGGGGCCCTCTTGGAAGCCTCTTCGGCTATCTTAGAGCTGTCTTGGAGACCTCTTCCTCCTCCTCGTCCCCCTCCTCCTCCTCCCACTCCAGCTCTCTCTCCTCCTGATCTTCCTCCTCCTCCTCCTGCAGCGTGTTCCGGAAGGCTCCCGCCGGAACATGCTGTGCACAAGTGCTGTCACTGCTCCCGCCACCGTGCCCTGGGTGGTGGGTCAGAGGCCTCATGGGTGTTGGTTTGGATCTCGTGATTGGCCTGTCGGGGACGTCGTGAAGGCAGTTTCGCAGCTTCTCGGTAGCCGTTTTGGGACCGTTGTGGGGCCTCCTCGGGGCTGTTTTGTGGCCTCTTTAGGCCTCGTTTGGGCCTCCTGGGTGCCTCTTGGGGGCCTCCTGGGGCCTCTTGGGGGCTCCTTGGGGCCTCCTGGGGCACTCTTCAAGCCGGAGGGTCGAATTTTGGAGTCGTGGTCCCCGTCTTGGGCGCATCTTGGGGCCGTCTTGGGGCTCTGTTGGGCTGTCTTGGGCGACTCTGGGGCCCTCTTGGGGCCCTCTTGGGCCGTCTTGGGGCGCTCTTGGGGGCCTATTGAGCCGTCTTGGAACGTCGGACAGCCGAAAAGGCTGGAAGGCCAAAATCGTTCGAAAACCTTCGTAAAATTGACGATTTCGGCCTCTTGAAGCGCTCTGGAGAGGCGTCTTGAAGCGTCGTGGAGTGCCTTGGGGGGCCTCTCGGGCCGTCTTGGGCCTATCTTGGGCGTCCTGGAGCGGTCTTTCGTCCGGAACGCGCTTGGGCAAGCGCTGGGTTTGGGGAAGGCGAGTGGGAACCGTTCAGGCAATTTGGGATGCTCGGGGCAAGAAGCGGAAGCCATCCTCACAGGACATGCAGTCTTCCTGGAGTCCGCCGGAACGCCTGGAATGGTCACGCGCTGCGGTTTCCCATGCCAACGTCCTCGGACGTAGGCGCCCTACCACGAGCGCGTTCCGGGAAGATGCTCCCAGAACGCGCTGAAAAGATCTCGAGGCTCCCAAGTGGCCTCCAAGAGACCCCAAGAAGTCTGAAAGGTATCACGGTACGGCCCGAAGAGGCCAAAGTCGTATATGTTCAATGGTCTTTTCAATGGTTTTGGCTTCTCGCGTTTTCGAGCTTCCAACGGTCCAAAAGCGCCGAAGAGCCTCCCAAGACCGGCCCAAGACCACCCAAGAGACCCTCAGGACGGCCCCAAGACAGGCCAAGAAGGCTCCAAGACTGCCGAAGAGGCGCCCAGCACAGTCCCAGACCACCCCAGAACAGGCCCAAGATGGGCCCAAGAGCGGGAGCAGGAGGCTTCCAGAGACCTCCTAGAGGCCTCCGGGACCCCCCAGAAGCCCCCAACACACCCCACATCCTTGAGAGGCCCCAAAGAGACCCCGACGAGGCTCCAAGAACAGCCCAAGAGAGCTGCGAGAGCCGTCCCGAGAGAGCCCAAAGAGGGTAAAATTGTTGATTTCCCATGGTTTTTTCCCATGTTTTTCGCCTTCTCACGTTTTCCCGCTTCCAGCCCTCAAAGATGGAGGATTTGGGAGAGAGAAAAAAAAGGAATTCAAGGAATTCCAAGAATTCCTTTTTTTCGTCAAAATAGAACTCCTACTCGGGGGTCCTACATATCCCCTGACATCTGGCTGGTACGGCGCCTCCCAGCTTCTTAACGTTGTCGCGGAGTCTCCGAAGGCCCCAAGGAATCCGGGAATTGTGGATTTGGGTGAGATGCTCATCCATTCGGGACTCAGGACAATATGCCCGGGCCCGGGCATACTGTCCAGGCCATCCTGAGCGCGCGCTCAGGTTCTAGCCCAGGCCGGGGGGGCGCTGGACGATCTTGGACAACGCTATCAAGCACAGGCGCGCGACGGTATCTGAGGAGCTTCTGGGGTGTTCCGCATGCTTCGTCAACTGGCTGTTGGAGGCACCTCGTGGGTGCTTCTTGGGGGGTGCGTCTGAGGGTCCCTTGGGGACATCGGTTCTGCAAACTGAAGCCGTCATTGGCCGTCTTGGCTGCGTGGAGGCCCGACTTGAGGTCACCTGCGGCCAGATTGAGGCAATCCGGAAGCCTCCCGGGGGCCTCCTGGAAGCAGTTTTGACGCATCGAGGGCACTCTTGGGCTATTGAATGAAGAGCCTCTTGGACGTCTCGTAGGGGCCTTTTAGGCCCTCGGGGAGCTTTTGGGGTCCTCGTCGGACCACTTGGGGGCCTCTTGCGGCCTCCTGTGGGCCTTTTGGGGGGAACGCTCTGCTGTTGGGTCGCGTTCCCCTTCTTGGGCCTCTCTTGGGGCTCTTGGGGCCCTCTCGGGCCGTCTTGGGCGCCTCAAGCACCGTCTTGGTGCCCTCGCGGGCCGTCTTGGGGCCCTCTTGGAGGCCTCTTCCTCTATATGGGAGCGGTATTGGAAGCCTCTTGGGCCGTCTTGGAGCATCGGGATGCCAAAAGGCCGAAAAAATTAAAACCCGTCAAAGCCCAATCGTAAAACAATGAGTTGTGCCTCTTGGGGCCACCTTGGGAGATCTCTTGGAACCTCGTCGGCCCTCTTGGGAGCTTCTTGGGGGCCTCTTGGATCCGATTGGGGGCCTCTTGGGACTTCCCGAGAACCTCTCGGGGTAGAAAGCTCGGATTCTCGGTTCGTGTTTCCCTTCTTGGGCCTCTCTTGGGGCCGTCTTGGGGCCCTCTCGGGCCGTCTTGGGCGCCTCAGGCACCGCCTTGGGAGCCCTCGTGGGCCGCCCAGGGCCCTCTTGGAAGCCTCTTCGGCTATCTTGGAGCTGTCTTGGAGGCCTCTTCCTCCTCCTCGTCCCCCTCCTCCTTCCTCCTCCTCCTCCTCTCTCCTCCTGATCCTCCTCCTCCTCCTCCTGCAGCGTGTTCCGGAAGGCTCCCGCCGGAACATGCTGTGCACAAGTGCTGTCACTGCTCCCGCCACCGTGCCCTGGGTGGTGGGTCAGAGGCCTCATGGGTGTTGGTTTGGATCTCGTGGTTGGCCTGTCGGGGACGTCGTGAAGGCAGTTTCGCAGCTTCTCGGTAGCCGTTTTGGGACCGTTGTGGGGCCTCCTCGGGGCTGTTTTGTGGCCTCTTTAGGCCTCGTTTGGGCCTCCTGGGTGCCTCTTGGGGGCCTCCTGGGGCCTCTTGGGGGCTCCTTGGGGCCTCCTGGGGCACTCTTCAAGCGGAGGGTCGAATTTTGGAGTCGTGGTCCCCGTCTTGGGCGCATCTTGGGGCCGTCTTGGGGCTCTGTTGGGCTGTCTTGGGCGACTCTGGGGCCCTCTTGGGGCCCTCTTGGGCCGTCTTGGGGCGCTCTTGGGGGCCTATTGAGCCGTCTTGGAACGTCAGACAGCCGAAAAGGCTGGAAGGCCAAAATCGTTCGAAAACTTTCGTAACATTGACGATTTCGGCCTCTTGAAGCGCTCTGGAGAGGCGTCTTGAAGCGTCGTGGAGTGCCTTGGGGGGCCTCTCGGTCTGTCTTGGGCCTATCTTGGGCGTCCCAGAGCGGTCTTTCGGCGACTCGGGGCCCGCTTGGGCCATCTTGGGAGCCTCTGGAGGCCCTC